GAGACAGGCCCAGTGATACATGCCATTCTCCTTGGTTCTCCTTTTCTGACTTCCCAGGGCAAAGACTACACTCTGGAAGCATGGATCCTGGACAGCCCATGTTCCCAAGCTTCTGCAGATGAGGGTGAGGGAAGGGTGGGCACCCCACACCTCCTGCAGACCAACAAAAGTTCTCTCTTACCTGCCAGTCTAGACTCCACCTCATCCCTACCCTGTTCAAGGAACAACAGGGTTTCGTCATCTCTCTGGGAAGCTGCAGATGGCTCATTTTTGCATTCTTCCCATTTCTTAAAAGTACTGCACATGAATTTTTAAATTTTTAAAAGTAAAATTGATTTAAATTGATTCTATTTAAATTTTCTTTTATTTTAAAGGTTTCACAATGCCTCCCAGGATAACTTCAGCCTTTCTGTGTGTTCAAAAACAGACTTTGGAGCCTATATTGAACTCACATACAGCTCCTTCCAGGTCACAAAGGCTGCTCTTTTCAACTCTAGAATTCCACATTCTGTGAAGTCCTAGTTCTCCTCCTCTGCACTTTGTAAATGGCACCGAGGTCTCAATTGCTTAATGCTCAGGACAAAACCCAGAACTTGACATTTTTCTTGCCCAACATTTTTCTTCCGACCCAGATTCCACAGAGCTCATTTGTACCTCTATTTGCCCATGAGTCCCTAAAATAGAGCAACCTCTCTTTAATTCTATTGCCATTCAACTGCCTGACTTTGAGTACATGACTGAGCCTCCTCTGTGACTCAGTTTCCTCTTCATGATCACTGCTCTATGTCCTTCCCGCAGCTGCTGTGACAATGTTGAAGATGCCCCACAGTGACCACACCATCCTTGTCCCTTTTGGTCACTGTGCTGAGAGAGGCACTTGGGATTAGACTCTTCTTTATCCCTCAAAAGATAACCCTGGGGAGGAACTCATTTGATCACTCTAATTTTCCATGGCTAGTTACACATACCAGCCTCCAGCCCCATCCTTCACTTGGCTAACTCTAGCTCTTCGTATCCTGGTCCTCTGCAGAAGTCACTTTCTCCAGGAAACTTCCCTGGTTGCACCCAGTCTTGGTTAGGTGCCCTTCTTAGGGGGTCTCATCACATCCCATCATAACCATCACCATGTGGTGTAATTGTTTCTCTGTCAGTCTCATCCACCAACCTCTAAGCTCTGTGACAGTATCTCACCCTCCTTGTTCATCACTATATCCAGAGCCTAACAGAGTGGCTGGCACACAGTAGGTATGAAAAAGCACAGAATAAGCCTGTCTGTCCTGCTGCTTCATGGAACTACTATGGGAGTGTGTCTTTTAGCAAGCCACTTCATGTCTCCTGGCTTCAATTTCCTCCTCTTTAAAAAGCATGGTTTGAACTAGCTGTTTTCTATCATTCTTTCCTGCACAATAATCTGTAATTCTGTGATTCTAAATAAGGTAATGCATTGAAAGAACATGGAAAACTGTAGCACTTTATCCAACATAAGGATTGTGTTTAACGTTACTATTATTATTCCACATGGTTTTCCTGATCTGTGCATCCTGGCAACTCATGCTTCAGAATAGATGCAGCCTTTCTCCCGCAGCCAAAAGACTGGCCTTGCCCAAGACCGCCCCATAGGTCAACAGCAGTATTGCCATGGGGGTATGGATGGGTCTGACCCTCCTTTTCTCTTTCTTCACAAGAGCCTTGGGAAATGTGTGAGGATCCTTTCTTTCCTGCCATCTGAATATTGCCTGGGCTGAGTGGATGGGACCTTGTTTTTGCAGACAGTCTGTGATGACCTTACTGAATTTTTTCATCTGGCCATTTGGTTTTGAGGATTTTTTTTTCTTTTTTAAAAAAGCAAGAATTGAAAAATCAATAATGAAAAAAAAATGAAACAAAAAAATAAAGGAGAAGACAAGCAGACAGTCAATGCGCCTGAAGTTTAAATTAGAATACAACGGTTTAATGCTCCCAAAGACCAGACTATCGTTTCTTATCAGATTTCCCCTTGAATGAGCAATTGTGAAGCCAACCTGTCCAGAGGAATGAGTTGTCATTCCGCCAGATGAGCAAACACCATCGATTTTAATGTGTGTGATAGAAACAAACAGCACCGAGCTCTCCCACTCCACACCCTCCGCTGGACACTATTCAGTGAAAATAGATGCCCTTGTTTTGTTAAGTGTCCAGGCAGAAGCACTAGGAAGGAAGTGGCAATGGCAAGTTCAGGACTGGATGCAGGGAGATTCTTCCAAACAGACTGGGCCCCAAGAGCCTCCCAGTTCAGAGAAAACACTGAGTCATGAAACATGGATCCCCCAAGGGGTCCTTCCCCCCATGGGAAGGACTAGAGAAGGGGATCACAGTTCCTTGCCAGGACTGGAGGGGGAGGAGCCAACACATCACCTCCTGGAAGTCTTCAGACAGCTGCCACTGGGCCAGGGCAGGCACAGAGGACAATAAATGGGGCCAGGAGCAATGGCAAGACCTGCTACCGGGCCTTGTCGTCAATGCCCAACCTAAGCTGCCTCCAAACCATGAGAACTGACTCAAAGAGAGTTTGCCTTTGAGATTTTGCTGGTGATAATCTGTTATCAGAGGCAAGAAGACTACTCAGTAGAGAGGAAAAGAGGAGGCCCCCTGGCAACCTAGGAGCTTGCCCCACAGCTCCCTAAAAAGACTCTGTGGCCTACTGTCACTTGCAATGTCTGCTAACCAAACACTCAGGGATTTTCTCTTCAAAGATCATGACTTCTGGTCTATGGCCTTCTGTGTTTATCTGGTTAATGAGTAGGCATCAAAGAAATATTTATACAATTCACTGACTGATGTTCTGTACCAACTGAGAAGACAGTTCCTCAGTTGGAATAAACCCACCACATTAATGCTAAAAGCAATGGGCAGTTAACAGATATCAAGATATCAGCTTCATAAGAGGCCTATGTGAGACCAAACAAAATCGAGACAGAGAATATTGGACACTGATAGTCAGGCAAGTGTTCCCTGCACTTCTCTAATTAGTTTACTGTCCTTATACCCAGGAGAGAGAGTCCCCAGTCTGGAAGCTGAAATCTGAGGTCTGACTTGTTATTAACAACACAAAATGATGACACACCCCAATGTTTCAGTAACAATAACCCTTGGTTGTTCGGCTCTACTTCTACATTTGTAGTCTACAGGAAGGTAATCATGAGATAGGGAGAACCCCAAGAATTCAGTGATGGCGAATGCCATCTTCCCCTGCTAGCTAAACCTAGCAAAACCTACACACAATGAAAGTGATTTGGCAACTGAAAAAGTCAATGCAGAGATTATCTGTAATTGGGTGACTTGAGGATTTATAAATACCCAGAACTCCAGTCAAGGTGATTTGGGAGCAAACTCAGAGAGAGAATATTGGAGTGAAATTGTAATTTGGCAAGCAGAACCCTAATCAATCGTATTGTGCCTTCCTAGGAGAAAGTCCTCTTCCAAGCCTTCCCCTCCAGGCTGCTGTGAGTGTCTGTTCATCTGACAGGCAGGCACCTGCCATAAAGATTCATGCTTCAGTCTGACAAAGCCAGTTGCCATTGGAGTCACAGAATTCTTTTCTCCGGTTCTAATTCTATGATCCTCAAACATTGCTCTGATAAGCTTTGGACCCATATGGCTTGCTTGCAGAGAAAGAATAGACTGGACAGCCCATAGCAACTTACATACAGTCCATCTCATAATACCATTCCAACATATGCCTCTTGAGGCTTTTGTTAATGTAAACGAGTGGATCTGAGTTCAATTGACAGCACGGTTCTGAGGTCCAGGACCCAGCGCTGAGGTCCAGGACCCAGAAAAGGGGGAATTTGTCTAGAAAACTACCAGTCAGATGCTTGAGACCCTTCCTTCACAGACCACCCTCCCAGGGAAAAGTAGGTATTGAATTGACCTCTTCTTCAGAAAGGTGGCATTCAGGCATTTAATCCCCACATGTATGACATAGATTTTTTTATTACCCTTCTATTTGTCAATAAGGAAGTTAAGATCCAACGGCTCAAGGTCACAGAGCATGTGGTGTTTTGACTTCACACAATCCTGAGGCTTCCTCGGCAACATAAAAAGAATCACGGAAGATTTCCAAAGATCCTCCCCTCATCCAATCTGAAAAGGCTAGGCATGTGCTCCCCTCAATCCTATGTAAAAGGGCTGGCTGGCATGGGGTCAGATTGTCTTTGGAAAGACAGAGATCAAAAGGAGGTACTTTTGATCCCATCCCGCTGCACCTCCCTATTCCATTTTCTGGCTGCCATAGCCTCCGGCTTCCTTTCTGGGTCACTCATAGGACCCTCGGCATTGGGTTCCTCTTGCTGAGGCCTAAGAGGCGTGGCCATAAGAGAAATGAGTCTGCTCCACCTGGGGGGACTCCCATAAACATGCATTTTCACCTACAGACCCCGAGCCCCGAGCCCTGTGTGTAGAGAACAATACAATGGTGTGGTGCCTATGCTGTAGTGGAGGATAGGCAGGGAGGAGGAAGGCCATCCAGTGGCTCCCAGGCACTCTGTGGTCTAAGAAGCAAACTCGCCCTTCTCCTCCTCCTTGCCGCTGACTGAGGGGCACCGCTGGGGAATCTCCCAGGGAGATACAACCACAGAGTCACATCCTTCCCCATTCCCTGTAGCTCTTCTCTTGCATCATTAGCCCATAGGGATTGTAGCCACAGTCCAGGCCTTCCAAGGGCCAGGGGACCCCATCACAGTGTCTGTGGGGCCAATGTGGGCATAGGATTTTACACAGTAGAATAGACACAGAGTTGTGCCTTCCAACTTCTCTCTCTTGGTCACGGTCCTCTCTAGACCCTATTCTGTTCTTTATTCAGACCAAGATTCTCGTTCCCCTCCCTAAACAGCCTTTCTCTCCCCAGAAGAGTCTCTGAAACCTGTATCTTCTCTCACTGCATTAGTCCGTTTTCACACTGCTGATCAAGACATATGAAAGATCGCATAATTTATAAAGAAAAAGAGGTTTAATGGACTCACAGTTCCAAGTGGCTGGGGAGGCCTCACAATCATGGTGGAAGGCGAAAGGTACCTCTTACATGGCAGCTGCAAGAGAGATGAGAACTAAGTGAAAGAGGCTTCCCCTTATAAAATCATCAAATCTTGTGAGACTTATTCAATACCAGGAGAAGAGTACGGAGGAAACCACCCTCATGATTCAATTATCCCCTGCTGGGTCCCTCCCACAACATGTGGGAATTATGGGAGCTACAATTCAAGAAGAGATTTGGATGGGGTCAGAGCTAAACCATGTAACTCATCTCAGCAACCTTATCCAGTCTATCACCTCCCCTCCCTCCTTCTCTCTTGGGCAGTTTTTCTCTTTTAAATGTCTCTCACCAGCTCCCATTTCTTAAAGCCCCTGGTAGATCCTCAAATCAAAACTCCAACCAACGTTTCCACTCCCTGTGCTCCTCCTTTCCTCCCATCCTGGCCTCAGCATGGCTCCACAACCTCTTGCAGCATTTATGCTTGACCTGCAGGAGAACTTCCCCATGATTTATTTATTTATTTGTGAAAAATAAGGTTCCAATTATGGCATATCCATATAGTGGAATGCTTTATAGCCATTTAAAATGATAGGGTAGAAGAAAATTTAATGAGGTGGAAAAATGTTCACAACAATGTACTCAGAGAGGAAAAGAGGCTACATAACAGTGTGCGGGGAATGCTTGCATTTTTATTAAAACACATGTGTGGATTTATTCCTACGTGACTAAGAGTATATGAGCCTAAATGTTCTCAGTGGTCAACCAGGCATCTGGGCAGTATGATGATTGCAAATGATATCTTCTTCCTTGTGCTTTTTATATTTTCTAATTTGTTTTACAATGAGGAAATATTACCTTTGAGATGAGAAAAAAACATAGTAAGAGAGTGTGTGTGTGTGTGTGTGTGTGTGTGTGTGTGTGTGTGTGTGTTTCCTTGAGACACCAGTAAAATGCCCTTTCCATCCTCTCTCTCTCTGGCCTTTCTGTTTTTATCCACATTGGCATATGTACTTGTTATTCTGAGCAAATGAGCCAATTGAAATAAGACTCCATTTATGCAAGCAGACTGTGGCTGTTGGTAGTCCAAAAATGTTGTCAGCACTAAGCAATTGCTCCTTTACTTGTCTGAAATGCACCATATTCTCCAGTTGTGCCCTGCTCCAAACTTAGGTCAGCTCAGCTGTTCCAGAAAGCACGATGGACGCCATTGCCATCTGAGTTCTCACATGCAACTAGAATCGTCTCTTTGCCACGGAGAGGCAGCGACGTACAGTGTTTAAGAGTGTGCATTATTTTATTACTAGACTGACAACTTGGGTTTGAGTTTCATCTCTGCCACTTGCTATGACTACTAACTCTCCAAGCCTTGGTTTCCCCATCTGGAAATGGACAACAATAATGGCAATATCCAGTAATAGGATTGTTTTGAAGACTAAATGACTAAAAATAATCAAGTGCTTAGCATAGTGCTTGGCATATAGTATTTAACAAATAGGAGTTGTTATTAACCATGGACAACCTTATTTCTTGGAGGAAATAAGTTTGAATCTTGTATTTTTAGTCTTGTGTACTTGGCTTTTAATTAAAGACATAAGAACAGATTTCAGCATCTCAGAGAAGATAAAGAGGGGAGGAGGTGAGGAGGGGAGGAGTTGAGGTGGAGTATTCTGTTCTGTTGCTTGCATCTCAGAAATATTTATAGACATGGGCATGACATATGAACAGGTCACAATCTTTCAAAAGGGCTCTTCTTTAAAAGGGCATCCTTCATTCTAGCTTTGCTGTGCCCTGAGCACAAGACCATATTTTAATAATGACCTGCTTAAAATCAACAGAAATACTAGCTTTCAGTTCAGTAAAACAGAATCTGAGGGCTGAAAGTAACCTCGATCCTCATCCAGTTCAATGTCCAAATGATAGATTTTGAATCTCTCCCTAAACACACACATGATGTCATCAACTGGTCTATGCTCTGCTGTCTCAAGTTACCAGGAACTCATACCTCCTCAGACAGCTCACGCCATGGAGGGCACTCAAAAAGTTAAATCCGAATAGAGATTCTTCCTTATGTTGAACCTAAATCTATCTCTCTGTAGGTCTCTACTTATGGTCCCATTTCTAATGCTTGCAAAGAAAGAACAAGCAAGACCTTTCCTCTGATGGCATTCTTTCAAATATTTGCAGCCAGGGACCATGTATTCCTCTCAGCTTTGTCTTCTCCAAGCTAGATACCATCAACTTCCAAAACAATTACCAATATGCAAAGTTTTATGGCCCTTCATTGTTCTAGTTCCTCTCCTCTAAATTTGGTCTGGTCAAGTGTGGGGTCTAGAATACATTTCTTCTTATGTGATTTCACTTACTCAGGATATAGCAAAATGACCACCTCTTCCACTTTAGACATTGCAGTTTTATTCATGTTGCCAAGAGTCTATTTGCTCTGGGTGGCCACCACCAATTTACTCCCAACTAAATCCCAGGAAGAAAGGTATATATTCCTTCACAAGTACTGCTTCTACTTTATAATGATCTTATTCTGTAATTGTGAGTTTTTCTTAAAACCCAATACAGAATGTTGTATTCTCCTTGGTTAAATTTCATCGTTTTGGATTCATTTCATTCTTTCAGCTTGTGAAGAACTTGGGGGCACCTGATTCTGTCATCTAGAGTATTTGCTAACAGTCCCAAATTCTTGTCATCCACAAATTTGATGACTCTGACTTCTGTCTTTATAAAAGTCATTCATTAAAACTTTAACTAGCATCCAGCTGAAGTCAAACCCTGGAGAAGTTCACTAGAAACTTCTCTCCAGTTCATCATCAGTTCAGATTTTTAGATCCTTCACAAAGTTATCTGCCTAAGAGTCCTTTGATCCTTTCTGAATACCATCTTAAGATATGGTGTAATATGGTATGATTTTTTTTCAGGATGAAAATCAGAAACACACTTTCCTAATCTACTAATCTAATACCTAAGAAACAAAACAGACAAGTCTGATATGGCATGCTCTTAGAGAATTCTAGGTCTTAGGATTCTTGGCTTCTTTTTCTGGATATTCTCAAACTATCTCTTCTTGTAATTCATTTTGGAATTTCATTTTATTTCTTATTCCCTTGCTAAAAATGGACCTGACACTGGCCTTCTGGTCTCCTGACAATTATCGACAATCCAGGATTCCCCAAAGATCACAACAGCAACCTGCGGAATGAAAGAAGAATAATCGTGAAGTGTAAGGTGATTTTGCCCGTCAGGATCTGAAAGAAGTAAATATATAAACAAATAAAAGACAATATTAGAAAATAAATCTGTTTCCTTGGGTTTGGAATAATTTCTTCACTATCATTCTAAAGGCGCAAAAAGCAGAAATTGAGAGGCTGATGGATAATTACTACATTAAAATTAATTTGGGACAACTCCACAGGGGCATCTCATCTCCACACTCCCTGTGGGGTTGGCTGAGGTTTTGCTGCAGATGCATTGCAGTCCAACCCCTTCTTTCAGCCCAATCAGGCACCCCTCAGTTCCTTACAGGTGTGGCTCCTGATGGTGTACCTAATAAACCTCCTCCACACAAATCTCCAAAGTCTGTTTTCAGAGAACCTGTCCTAAGACAGTTGGTATCAAGAAGCAGATTTTTAAATGGGATTTTGGAGCAGTATCACTCCCACTGTAGAGTAAGCTGTAAGTGAGTGCTTTATCACTGGAGTCCTGTTAGTCCCTGGCATGCTGTATTGGCACGGTTGTTAGAATGTTTATGAAATACCAGTGGAAGGGCAAGTATGGGCAGGTGAGATATTTCAAATATTTGAGAAGTATCGGTAAATAGTAAGTTTCAAATTTATGGAATTGAATGCCATTGCTGAGTGCTACTGATGCATTAGAGAAAGACAATAAAGGCTGAGGGGGATTATTCATGAAGTTAAAGCTAAGCGTGAAAGTCAGAGGGTCTCCTTAGCAGCACAGAACAAGAACCCCCTCTCTTGCAGCAGGAGGCAAGAAAAACTGAGGGTCAGGCCAAAAGCTGAGTTACAAGGGGAGCAAAGCCTTAGAGGAATTTGAATTCTCAACTTGAGCAAGTCTGCTCCACCAAGGTGAGGGCTGTGACTGAGAAGGAGGGAACAGGACTATCGAGATGGGGACATCTATGTTGATAAATTCAAGGACCTTGAAAGCCCAGATGTCCACAAACTGTCTATGGAGGTGCCCCATCCTCCTTCTTAGAAGCTGATGCTCTCTCTCCTATTGCTTAAAAGTGTTGCAAAGGCATCTTATTTGAAAAACATGCATACCACCCTCTGTATGAAATGCTACCCTAACTTGTATTCTGTTTGATACAAGATCCATAGTTAGTGTAACATCAACTGGAGAAGTGCTGGGTCTACCAAGGGAGAGGGACATATGCCAGGGACTATGGGCTGTAGCTCCTGTGCAGCAGCAAGAGATGAGAGAGCAAGCACTAGACCGACTCCTGAGGGTGTTGGGTCAAGGGTGGCAGGGCACAAGGCTGGATAAGTGAGAGTTTACTGGTATGGGAACACCGTTCCAGGACACAGAATAAATACTCTGGCAAGTACTGTGAGAAAGGGTGCTAATATGCTAAAAGGGTATCTCTTGGAAGCTGGGAAAAAGGGATGGCTCTGCCAAATGAAGTAGAAATGCCAAAACTGTAGTAGCAGATGATGGAAGAACAGGTATTAAAGCTCAGGTAAGTTGCCATGCTGGAATGCACATACTGCACAGAGCCAGAAAACCTGATCAGTTGACCATGTTCTATGGGACAACCTGAACGACACTTCATTCATCAAAGCGATGAGGAATGCATGGGTGAGGCGATACTATGGACTAAACTGTGTCCCTCCAAAATTCACATGTTGAAGCCATAACCCCCAGTGTGACTGTATTTGGAGCCGGGGTCTTTAGTACGTAATTGAGGTTAAATGAGGTCATAAGAAGGGGGCCTTAATCCCACAGGATTATTGTCTTATAGGAGAAAAAAATGCAAGAGAGCCCATTATCTCTGTCTGTCTCTCTCTGTCCCTTCCTGCCATGTAAACA